AGCTTTCAGCAAGACCTCTCCTGGGATCTGCTCTCCTACCTTGGCGGCACGCTTGCTTTTACCGGGATTGTCAGGGATAGGAACAAGCAGCTGAGGGAACAGATAGGGCTTTTATCTTTTTCTTTTTTTAACATCAGCACTGGATAAAATGCATATCAAAACCTCTCACATAAACTATAGTCAATACAGACAAACTTAATCCTGTGAAAGCCTCCGCATCATTAAAGTTCCAATTAAGAACTCCTTGAGACAGACCTCGGGTGGGAATTGGGCTGAGGATCAGCCCTGGGTTGGATTTTTGTAAAGGCATAAATTTCACTTCAGGTGCCTGGATGATGATGAAAAGACTGAGCTGGCCCTGGAGGGCAAACGGGACTTTAAAACCAAGCAAAAGTTTTAAATCATGCCTAAAAGCGAAGGAAGTTTGTCCCCGCGGATTGTCCCCTGCCTCTCCTGCAGACTCCCGGGGCAGGGTGGTGTCTGGCTATCTCACGGTCATTTAACTCGACAGCAGTAAATCGCCCACAAAATTTATCATCTGCAAATACTTGAAAAACTCAGATGACAAAAGACAGCATCAGGAGACACTGTTTGAGACGCTCAGAGAAAGCAAACCCAAGCCCCCAGCGTGCTGTCAGTGCCCCTGCGGCTAGGATGGCGAGAATTGCCAGGAGAAGACTCAGAGTTTCATGACGAATCCTAGAATGTCTTAGGTTGGAAGGGACTGTAGAGCTCATCTCGTACACACTCCATGAGCAGGGACGCCTCTCAACCAGCCCAGGTTGCTAACGGCCTCATCCAACCTGGCCTTGAGCATCTCCAGGGAGGGGACAGCCACAGCTTCTCTGGACAACCTGTTCCAGAGTCTGGCCATCCTCAGGCTGAGGAATTTCTTCTGAAGATCCACTCTAAATCTGTTCTCCTTCAATTTAAATCCATTTCCCCTCATTCTATCGCTGGACACTTGTCAAAAGTCTCTCCCCAGCCTTCCTGTAGGTCCCTTCAGGCACTGCAGGCAGGGATAAGGTCCCCCTGGAGTCTTCTCTTCTCCAGCTGAACACCCCCAGCTCCCTCAGCCTGTCCTCGCAGCAGAGCTGCTCCAGCCCCTGGGTCCGCTTGGTGGCCTCCTCTGGACTCATCCCAACAGCTCCATGTCCCTCTCACAGTGGGGACACCAGAACTGGACGCAGGATTTGAGGTGGGGACGAAGTGAAGGTGAATTTATTTCCTGGGAAGGAAATCCTCCCAGTTTTACAAATTGTTGTCACAGTTTAGAGCGGATGGTGTATGTGATTTTTTATTTCCTCTCTTGCTCGGTGCGAAGCAGCAGGCTTTTTGAACTCAAATTCTGCTCAGGAGGGCGCTACGGCTTTTCTGTGGGCAACCAAACGGCGCTTGCTAGATCAACAGCCGGTGACAACTCTCCGAGTTCCCATTTCCTCAACATTCTGACGTTTTTTTGATGTGCACGGAGAGGAGAAAAACAAACTAAAAATAAACTCTCAATCTCTGATTTGATGTCTCTATATTCCCTCCCGCCCTAATGGGCACCGTTTCATTTATGGCTTCTGCGACAGCACGGCACAAAGGCTGCAGGAGCTGGGGACGTCTGATCCCTTCCAAGTGCTGAAGCTACAAACCATTCACTCTGCTCTTTCCAAACCAGCCTGAACGAAATCCATCAGCCGCATCACATAAATGATAAACGTTGTCTGCGCCCCATATATTTAAGCGAAATGAAAGCTTTGATAACACACAGGGCTGAAAGCTCAGAATCCTTAGTGGCTAACAGCTCAATACTAAATCCTAGTGGAAAAATCAAATCCAGCTTGTATTACATTTGGGGGGGTCCTCAAAAGTTTATTTTGACATTTTTCCGTACGCGCTGATGCTGTGCTAGTAAAATCTCATAGTCTATTGCCTCTACTGAAGACCACATATGTGTGCTATGGGGATAACTTCTGACTCCAGCCTATAAACAAGTTTGTAGTATAGAGAAGATACTCCAGAATTTCTGGAACTAAGAGGAGGAAACTTCACATTCTGCTTTGAATGAAACAGTAACACTCAAATTTCTTAAAAAAAAATTGCATATGGAGGCTGAGCAGTCGGCAGAGTAGAAATCAGATTGCCAATACATGAAAATTTTGGTAGTAAACTGCATATTGCTCCAACGTTCTGTACGTCAAAGCGGTTTTCAGCATAAAGTTCTTCAAACATCAATTGTTGATGTCAATGAACTGCCCTAAAAAACAGGCTCTGAAGCACTGCTTTCCTTAGAATCAGTTGAAGCACAGAATCACAGAATGTTGGGTTGGAAGGAACCTTGAAAGATCATCCAGTCTAACCCCATAGGTAATAACATTCATCCACACTAAAAACAGAAAAAAACCACCCCAAACAACCCAAAGCATTTCAAACTTTCATGAGAATCCCAACAGATACATAAAAAAAATTTAAAAAATTAAAAAATTAAGAAGGCAGAAGCCATTTCAGGCTGGAGACTTCTCTTTGCTCACCAGCACGTTGACAGTACAGCTCATGCGGTTCTCCTTGTTCTCGTCGTGCATTATGGTCCTGTAGTCCAACAACCTCTCCATTAAGCGGACGACAAGTTTCACAAAAGTTTCGCCGCTCTTAGCAAGGTATTTGTGTTTTCTGCAGTGCTCCAAAAGACTGAAAAGCCAATGACATTCGCCTTGTTAATCACACGCCGCAAAAGAAAAACAACCCTTGACTCAGGTGTAATTTTTAACATTATGCATCATTAACAGATTTTAATTATTTCTGGGCTACAGAGTTCATTGTGGTCTAATTGCTCTCTCTCCTGACTTTACCGTGACATAAATCTCACCGCTGATCAACACTTACATTTTGTCAAATAACACTTTGTACTGTTCATCTCCTCTGCCTCCTTCCACTTCATGATCCAGCTTCGTGATGATCTCGTTCTCAAACTATAATTAAACAAAGCAAGCGTAAATAATCAGATGGCAAATATTTCACTTTATTACTGTAGCCTCAATGGTTCACAGATTGGTTGCGTATCTCGGTGAGATGTTTAGCCACTATTTTAAAGCTTGATTGACTTTAAGAGTTTGCAATCGCCGGCATTTGACTGTCCACGACGATCTGCTGCCCTACAAGGACTTTTTTGTTGAAGAAATCATCGGTCGCATTGTTAAACGAAGTGTAAATATTTGCATTATGGAAAACTAAACAAGAAGATTAATGGCAAGAATGAGGGCGAGGAGAAAGAAGACACAAAGCCAGGCACAGAATGTCCCCTGCAATATTGGTAATAGCAACGAAAGTAAAATACAAAAATGTTGAAAGCTCTGTTAAAGAGGATAAATAACACTCGAGGCTGGGTAACACATCCGAGCAGCATGAAAATCCCTTTTTAGCATAGAGATAGCGACTACAGTGGGCCACAACTCAATTAACAAACCTGTTAATAAAGTTACTGCAAAGGGGAAGGAAGTTGCTTCCAACAACTGAAGAGTAATTTTTTTTCTTTGGGCAATAACAAAAGAATGCAAACTCAAGCAGGCATTAGAATGTATTTTAAACGCAAACTGGATAATTCACAGGATTTTTATGGATTACAGGAGGTTTCCCCTGCTGCCACATTCCCTAGGGCCCAGGTAAGGAACAAATGGGACGTGCTAGCAGAGGAAGGTTCACTCTAGGTCTGCTGCTGTGTAATGGATCAGTCTAGTCATCTAATTCCCAACTCATCGCTAAAGAAGCACAGACCTCCACGCCGCTACTGATACAACCTATAGCCAAGAGACCTCAGCAGCAGAGCCCGGGAGCCTGTGGCAGGGGAATAGGAGCCCATTAGTGAGTTTACTGCCAGAACAGTTGTCTCCGTGCTTTTTTCTCACTGTGACTGGCTCAGGCAGTCTCTAACTACTCTGAGGAGAAGCAAAGGGCCACCTGCACAAGAACAAAGCATACGAACACTTTGTAAATGTCAAGAGATGTACTTTGCATCTGCAGTTAATGTCAACAGCATATAACGTACAAATGAAAAGAGAATCTGTAGCTAGAGATACTTCCAGACCAAGGAGGCATTTCCACAACCGCCAGGCTCAGCAGCAGCCCATGGACCCGCTCTTGAACCTGTCTTTGAGTCATGGGTTTTCCTTCCCACTGCCACAGTATCCCATCACTGAATACACACCAGTAACATAAGGACATTCCTCATTCTTAATAAATTCTTACCACCAGTCAAAATATCTACTTTAGTGACAACAGTATTAGCTCCTCTGTGACAGCCACCAAGCGCTGCCCGATCTGTGAAGGTAACTTCTCCACAACCGGAGAGGGCATGCTTCTGCTGAAAGCCCATGAGCAAAAAGAGACTTTTCCTTCATCGGGAACAACTGCAAGGAGGCAACTTGGACAACCTCAAAGAGTGTTGCAGTAGGGGTCGTGCTAAAGATGTAGCTGACATCTCTGCTGAAAGGCAAACATCAAAATCTATGTACCATTACCGCAGTAATGTTCCCATCATTTCCTACCTTTCATGTGCAACTCTAGACTTTTTGTCCTCTGCATTCGAGTTGGGAAATTTATTTTTACACGCTACCTGGCAGCCCACCAGAATCTCGTTATGGAGAACAAAGATCTCCGATTTGGCTCGGTGACTACAAGCTCAGAGCAAATTCAGGACAGAGTCTAACGACATGCACAAGTCAATGTGAGCTGACAGGAAACCTGAACTAGAGATCACACCATGCATGGAGCAATAAAATCAGCCAAGTACCCAAACAACAGATATTCCATCTTGAAACAATTTTTATTACTATCCGTGACTCTTTTAAAGATGAAACTCCCCGAAGTTCAGATTAAAACATTTCAAAGCTGCTCTCCTGTTCCCTGAATAATCTACGGAATCATAGAAACAGAGTCCTTGAAGGTCATTTTTGGTCCAACCTCCGAACTAGCTCAGGCCAACTGTGATCTGCTTATCCAAGTATTGAACATCTCCCTGGCTGGATGGTTACACAGCCTTTCTGGGTAACCTGTCCCACTCCCTCGCTCCTTTCCTTGTGAAGAAGTGAATGAAAAGTGAAGTGAAATAAGGTTTTTAATACAATGAAGCCATTAGTCAAAAAATGACGGGAAAATGAGAAAAGTGACAATAATGCAATCCACCCCCTCTGAGAAGCAAACACAAGCTGAAACGTCTTCCCATAGGACAAGGACGTGTCAAGCTAAATGCTGAAGCAACGCAATGATGAAACAGCGAAATCACAGAATTCATGTTCTCTAACGAGAGCAGAAAGAAATTGACTTTCTATACCAATGTGAAAAATGACACTTGCTGCCAGCGTGAGCCCTTTAGGTGATGCATTTTTTAGGAAGAGATTACTTGGATGAAGAAGACATTTGTCATACAGGATCTTGAGTATCTTACTGATATCACTTTTACTTAAATTTCTGTAAACCTAGGCTTTGTTGGGCCATCTCCCTAACGGCCCTCCTGGGATGAACAGAGCTAGACTTGTGGCATTTCTGGGATTTTAAGGACTATTAACAATATCTTTACTCTTCAATCATTCTTGATTCTTCTCAAGGAATTGATATGATGCAGATCAAGCAATCCAGATGACTAAATGGTATTTAACGCAGTTAAAATTCCTTCTATGGTCTCTCTATCGAGAACGCTTCATCAACACAAGCTGAGGTTTATGGCAGATCAAGCAATCCAGATGACTAAATGGTATTTAACGCAGTTAAAATTCCTTCTATGGTCTCTCTATCAAAGAACGTTTCATCAACACCAGTTAAGGTTTATGGAGCTATCGTCTTTCAGGATGGGAGTAAGAATGTGGCCCTGGTATCACACAAACTAGTGGCTCTGGGACACTGCAACTGGCATCTTTTGATAAGCAAGGTCTCAAATTTCCTTTTTTTTGAAAAAAAAAGTAAGAAAAAATTATGTGCATAAAATAGCACAAAGTACATCTGCAATTGTTGTGATGGAATTTACTGTCAAGTGAAGAAGCACCAAATTTTCAATGTCTACATTACAGTGCTGCGGCTCTTTCGGGAGGCTTAGGGAGTATATCTAGGACCATCACAGAGTTAGATTCATCTGCTGACAGGGAAAGCTCAAGGGGTGATGTTAGGGAGATTACAGGAAATTATTATCAACTTTTCCTTGCAGTTGATCAAGATCTCAGCTTCTCTTTAGGACGTGTGTTTGAACTTGAGCAAAGAGTATATCCACTACATCCGTCTGCTACAATCTCCCATCTGGAGAAAATAAATCAATGTAAGCTATCGAGTGTCTTCAAGTGTCAGCTCAACTAATCGCTTTTGGTTTTAGGTTTACCTAAAGTGTGGTCAGGCTACATTTGTAGCACTGATTGACGATTTAATCTAGCTGTAGATGAGGAGGACTTTCAATCCTCCAAGCTGCTATAAATTTATTTTTGATAGGGGATAATAATGAATTTGCCATATAAAATTCAAGTGATGGATAACACGGCTAGAAATTAGTCCTAACGCAGAAACAGCACATAAGTGCTGTAAAATTTTCTTCAAAGTCTGCTGTGGAAGTTGGTGGCAATTCCCACCAGTTCCATCCATTCCTTTTCCTATTTTCCCACAGCATTCTGGTTGGTAGCCATTTAATATCAGGTCTCTAGACTTTTGGAGGTCTCTAGACTTACCACATTACCCTTCTCCCTTGTGGTTAAGAAGACTTAATAAGGAATTACAGGTTCTAAAAGTCAAGACAGATTCAGATAAACCAGGCATTTCTCATTCAGGAGAATTACATCACTTTGTACTTCATTGATAACCAACAACAAGTCACACTGCAAACCAAAATGCTAGTATGGCTGTCTTGATACTGAGATCTATCGTTAAATATTGAATGAGAATGAAAAGGGTTTCCTCTTTATTTCTTGGGGTCTTTACTCATTTAATTCCTCTTACAACAGAATACTTGGTAGAGGTACTTTAGCTGCACCCATGGTTTTATTTTAGTAATCCTATGCGTTATGCATTCATTTATTATGCATTTCTATATGATTTTGCATCATGTATTCATTTACATGCATTTCTATATGATTCTGCATTACGTATTCATCGCTTACCCATTTCCATATAATTTTTCTTTCTTTTCAGCTCTGGTTCCATTATGCTGTCATTCCAATTTGCAGAAAACGGGACAGATGCGCTGTTGCATTTTTGGGGCTCCTTCCTCAGATGGTTACTTTTACACAGCTCCTTATTCTGACAGAGTAAGAGCACATGCTGGAGCTTGCATGCTTACAACGCTGATGCTAATGCCACCACACATGATGGTTCTCAGTAATGCAGCTCAGTCTAAAAACTAGATACACGGAACTTCTAATCTCTTCTTGCTCACTCTTCCAGAATCAGGGGATACACCTCTCAGATTCCACTCTGAAGGATAAGGGTCCTTCCCTCCTACTTGACGAGAAATGTAATTATGTTGGAGAAAACATGCTGGGATAGTGCTTCTGACTTAATTCCTTACTTTATTTTATCAATTGTTTTGGTTTTTGGCTCTCATAGCAAGGTACTTCTTGTAATTAATTTGTGCCAGATCGGTTAAAAGAAATTCTATTATGATGCAGTACCAGGAACTGCACTGGCACCTCTCTGTGAATGGGTTCAACTCAAAACAAGCAGAACATTATATCAGCAATGACACATGCCTAGAAAAGGGCCAGAAAAAGGTGAGAAAAGTTTTGGGCAAGCAAGCAAATGGAGTGCTCATAGGAAATGGAGCTAGAGCAAGTGACAGCTGGGAAGAACAGGCAGCAAAATCAGGACATCGGTGCTTTTTCTGGTCTGTATTCCACATTTCAGCTGAGTGACTGTTTCGTGATGGAGTTTCTCTCCTGCTGTCACCACGGGATCCATCACGTTCACCTGACCAGGCCCTGAACAATCAAACCAATTCTCTTTCATCGCTCCTGTGGCTCTGACATATTCCCTTTGATCGGGAGGGTTCACTAGTGAAACAGGCAAAGGGAAAAAAGCAGAGCAGAGAAGGAGGCATTTGATTCTGCAGAGAAGCTTCAGTCCCACACTGACTTTAGTATCGGATTCATGCTTTGAGGTACCGGCTACTTTGAAGCCTTATATAGGCTTCAAAGCACCTTAAGAGGGAGAGGACAAAAACGGGCAACTCTAGCTCTTAATTCAGTTGGCCTTTAATTTAGTTCTGGAAAAATGAGAGGGATTTATATTCTGTTTTTTTCTCAGGGCTATCTATACTGCAAGAACAAAAAATCACCATTCTATCTGTTACTGGTTTTACCTGGCAAATCCATCCATACGGAAATCTGTAGAATCACAAAAAGGTTTGGGTTGGAAGGGACCTTGAAGACCATCTTGTTCCAACTCCCTGCCCTGGGCAGGGACACCTCCCACCAGCCCAGATAGGTCCAAGCCCCGTCCAACCTGGCCTTGGGCACTTCCAGTGACGAGGCTTCCACAGCTTCTCTGGGCAACCTGTGCCAGTTCTTCACCCTTAAAGTGAAGAACTTCTTAACATCTAATCTAAATCTACCCTTCTTAAGCGTGAAACCATTGCCCCTTGTCCAATTGCTACACTCTCTGACAAGCAGTCCCGCTCCAGCTTTCTTGCAGCCCCTTCAGGCCCTGGGAGGTCTATCTAAGGTCTCCCCAGAGCCTTCTCTTCTCCAGGCTGAACAACCCCAACTCTCTCAGCCTGTCCTCACAGGGGACATGAACTAAAACCAGCATGGGGAAAGCTGTCTGTTCATAACACAAAACATCACAGCCTTGAATTTCTGCAAAAAATGTCAATTCCTCCCCCACACATCATGAGGTTTACGCATTTTCTGGAGAAGCGGAGCCAATGTGAAATCTTGTTGACGTGACTAATAATGTTGGATAATCAAATTAGTTTAACAGCAGCCAATCATTCAACTCTGAAGTCTTTGAAAGCAAGACTGGACAATGACACCTGGTATTTGCATATAGATGACATAATGCAGTACATTCCACTGACACATTAAGTATGAAAGCTTGTAATACTGGTAATACTTAAACAAATTATTTTATATCTATTTCAATCACTTAAACACAAAAGAGACAAAAAAAAAAACGAGCTGGGAAGCTACAGGCCAGGCAGGGGCCCACTTCAGTTCCCAAGGAAACCATGAAGCAAGCCCTCATGGAAGCTATTTCCAGGTACACAAGGGGCAAGAACATGATTGCGAAAAGCCAGTATGGATTTATCAAGAGTCAGTCACTTCTGGCCAACCTGAGTGCCTTCTGTGATGAAGCTATCTATCTGTTCAGCGGAGGAAGAGCTGCGGTTGTCTTGACCTCAGTAACGTTTTTTATACAGTCTCCCGAGACATATTTGTTGACAAGTTGTTAAGATATGGACTGGATAGACAGATTACAAAACGGGTAGAAAAAGTGGCTAAATTGCTGTTCTCAAATGGTGGTGGTAGTTTAATGACTCTCACAGTCTGACAGACTGCCAACAAGAAATCATACAGCATATAAGGAAGAGAAACTTGAAATCCTGAATCTGGGATGACATTGCTGCAAGCAGCAGTACAATACGCTCTGCTGGAAAGGACCTGGTGGTCAGCAAACCGAACACAGAATCCTAGAATGTCTTCGGTTGGAAGGGACCTCAGAAACCATCTAATCCAATCTCCCTGTCACGGGCAGCAATACCCTTAACTAGACCAGGTTGCTCAAGGCCTTATCCAACCTGGCCTTGAACATCCCCCAAGGAGGGGGCAGCCACAGCCTCTCTGGGAAATTTATTCCAGGGTCTTGCCATCCTAAGATCCAGTCTAAACCTATTCTCTCTTCAATTTAAATCCATTTCCCCTTGTCCTACAACTGGACGCTCTTGGAAAAAGTCCCTCTCCAGCCTTCCTGAACATGAAGAAGCAGTCTGCCCCTTCAACGGAGGCGAAATGTGTCCTTAGATTCACCAACAAGAGCACAGCTAGAGGATCAACAGGACTATTCCACTTGTTGGCCCACGGCTGGAACACTGTTCATCCAGCCTAAGAGAGACCTTGAGAAATCAGAGTTGGTCTAATGGATGGTCACCAAGATGAGCAGAGCACTGAAGAACCTGGCCTGAAGAAAGGTTGAAGAAATTTGGTTTGTTCAGCCTCGAGAAAAGCAGAGTCAAGGCTTCCAACACCTAAAAGGTGAGTTTAGAGGAGATGGAGTTTACAAGGGTGCACAATGACAACACAAGAAGGAAAAGATACATGGTGAGTCAGGAATATTCCACTGGGATGTAAGAACAGAAGTCTTAAACATTGGAACAGGTCACCCAGAGAAGCGGTGAAACCTCCCTCACAGGAAATATTCAGATGGCCTCAGATAATCCAGTCAAGTGCCCAGACGGGATGAGATTAGTTTCATAGGTCCCATCCAACCTAGACTTTTTGATAATCTTCTGCTTTTTAACAGCTGTGATCTTCACTCCCCAAAGATCAATCTGAGATACTCACCGAATTATATAATTACATTATCTGCAAATCCATAAATGGACAGACTCACCACTCCCCCTTAGATATAACTGTTCACTTCAAATGCACTGAAAAGGGTTTACTACCTCTGCTCCTGTCATATCAATGCTATGTCCCTAAAGAAAGAAGCTATACTGACATCAGAAATATATGCTGAGTACCTACAAGCCAAGACATCTCTGACTTCAGAGTGAGGCATTTTTCTTCTCAAAAGGCAAAAAGAATCTGTGTGAAATATTTAAGACATTCATTTATTAAAATCACCCAACTATTCCACACAAAGCTGGTTTCCTCCTGTCAAGAAAATACAGGGCCAGGAATTTAGCTATAAAGTTACCCTCGGAGTTTTCATGATCCATATAATTGTACAAATAAAAAATGACAAGCAACAGAAGAGAGCATCTGACAGGAAATACTTTAAATGGCATCCTGGTGGGCATTTCAATCTTTGCAGTATCATTGGAGTCAAAACATAAAGAATGATTACGCAGTAATTGGACGGATCCAAAATACAGTTCACAACCTTTCCACACCCCATCCAGCACAAAACAAATCAAAGTAATAAAGCTGATGCCATTTCCCCTGCTTAAGTCTCTCCATGAAGATATTCATTTACTCTGGCTACAGATTTGTTAAGAGCTGGTTATGAAAAGTATTTCTCAAAAAATAGCGTGGAAAAGGCTTTTTCATCCAAGAAAGAAAACTGCCAATATAAAGGGGAAAAAAGCAAACACCACACATCAAACTTTATTGAAAAATTCACAAGGTCATATCCTGAACTGACAGAAATTTCACAGTGTAAAGGAGCTACATTGGCTTATATCATAACACCACCGGGCCTAACTAGTCTTATACTCAATCCGTAAAGACAAAGTTTCAAGGGAAAGAAGGTCAAATGAACGAAGGCAAGAAACTTTCTTTCACTCCACTTGTCTCTGAAAAGTCGATGCTATCAGGATAAGATTGTGTGTGCTTATTCAAGGACGTCCCTCAGCATATAAAACAGAATAAAAATGTTGCCTTAGTATTTAAGATTTTGCAGAGTCTGTATAGCATGAAGAAACACCGACACTGACTGGATAGGTTTTTTTCCCCTCTTCAAAGTCCATAAAGTGATAAAAAGCATCAAAATTATAAGTTAATGCAGGTTAGAGGTTTTTTTTGCCACGTTATCAGCCTTCCTTTATGTCCAATTTAACTCAGAAGCAGATTCCTTTTCTGAGTCACAGTGAAAATTTAAGACATCTGTCTTTGCTCGCCTTCCGTATCATCATGGCAGGTTTCCTTTAGTTCATGTAAACCTTCCCATCAATAAGAATTTAAAGCTGATGAAAACTCTATGGCTACTCAAGAGTTACAGAAAATAAGCAAATCCATAATTTTATTATTCTTTATGAAAAATAAGAAACAGCAGAAATTCTTACGCTACGTCGAAGAACAATTAAATCTTCCCTACAACCTTCAAGTATCTGTGGCTTACTGCTTACCATCTGGAAGCTTCTAGTAGAATGAAATTCACACTGCATCATATCAAAGAAGATGGGGATCGTAGCTTTCCGAAGTTCGGTTTCAGGGATAAGCGTCATTTCTAAGATAGGTCCCACCATTTCTGGGATGAACTTGATTTTATGCTGACCTTTAAGAGAGAAAATGCATTTGAGAGTTAACAAACAGCCACTGACTTTGGTAGAAGGTAACTGGTATAGAAGCTGTACCAATAAATTCTCACAGAGCATAAAAAAGCATTTTCAAGATCTGAGTGCCGAAATACATATTATTATTTGTGACTTTGGTAGAAGGTAACTGGTATAGAAGCTGTACCAATAAATTCTCACAGAGCATAAAAAAGCATTTTTCAAGATCTGAGTGCCGAAACACATATAATTATTTGTGCCAAAAGAGGTGAAGTATGCGGTATGTATAAACCCAAATTAACAAGAGTTCTTGTATCAATAGTCAAACTGGCACTTGCCACACTTTCCATGAAGAACCCATGTTTGCACACTCATAGTAGGTTCCCAGGTTGTCTTTTAAGTAAACTTCTGGTTGGGAGAGACGGAGGTTAAAAGGCACATCCCTTGTATTAACTTATTTAGACTTCTGTATCTGCTGCAGCGTACAAAATGTTCTCTGTGTCAGTCTATCAAAGTGTCACCGCGAGTGCATACTTACACAGCCTCGAGACATGAAACTACATCTAGCCAAGCTGACAATATGCCTTCTTTCTTCGAGAGCTGATCTGACTGGCAAGCTTTATTTCACATTTACCTTCCGAAGAGTAAACCGCACCTTCCCCAACCCTCCCTGCTACGCTCTCTGCACACGGAACAGAACTTAAACCTCAACAGGAACATGGAACCTAGGAAGTACTGGACTAGATAAAAACCACCCAGTTACTCTTCATATTATTAGCTAAAATGCAGAGAGTGCAGAATATTTGCTCTGCAAATTATCTTTTCAACAGCGCCCTGGAAAGCTGCTGGTGCAGAGCAGTGGCATGTGGCACCGGAGAGCTCCAGGCAGAGGACTTGATGGCAGAAGCTTAGGATATTCAAACCCTCTTTCAGCAACAGGCTGGGATTCATTTGAACCCCTCTGCACCATTGGTGACGTCTGACAAATGCAGTGTTAACAGATGGCTACAATCCGGCTCACACCCTGTTTATGCACCCACTGCTGTGGCTCAGACCAGGCTTCTTCAGCGCGGAGCTAATTTAAGGAGCCCTCTGCCTCCTCCATTTCAAGACTCTTGTTTCCCATCGCAGTTACCAGCGGTATGTGACAGAAACGGATTTCAACTCGTTTATATTCCAATGCACCACACCAGTATGGCGCTACCGTTTCACTTTTGCCCAGAACTAACACATATCTTAACAAATGTAATCAAGAGAAATCCTTTACTAACAAAACATGCTTCTTTTTTTAGCGGATATAATTTCAGTTCCTTGATTTCGCAAACTTCAGAATCCTATTAGCATTAGCAATCCTATTAGGGCAAATTAATACTCAACAAAAACTGCTACTTTGTACGACGCTGCAGTGCTGGTTGTTGGTGAGGAATATCAAGTGGGAGGCATAAAGCTTTCCTCTGTCTCTCTTACGAGGATCATTACATTCGGCCTCTCAGGTGACAGTTTTCTTGTATTACGCCCGAGAAGTGTCAGAGTCAATATTTCAGAAAACAAATAAGAGTGATAAAAGTTATTCGTCAGGCACAAATCCAATGTCACGAAATTCTCCGCGTGCCAGGGTGGGTTTTTCCATTGCTGCGAGCACAGGGATTCCCTCGGAAAAGCAATTAACACCTTTTGAACTTTAGATGTGAAAAAAGGTGAATTCGCAGAAGAAAAACCTTTGATCCTCTTTCCTCTTCTCCGGGGCTGTATAAACCTGCTCAAAAAGCAAGTCTCTGAAGAGCTGATCTGATGACAAGGGCCAGAGAGCTCACCTCCCGAGCTGGTCCCCAGCACCTCCGCCGAGCTGGACGGGCACCAAGGGCAGGATTTGCTCCCCAGCCCGTAGGACCTGCCCGGCAGCCGCAGCCCCAGGGAGTTGTGCCACAGGCACAAAGCCTCCTCGCCCAACACCCACTGTTTGTATTTATTAGCGGCGCAGGTAATCAGCGACGGAGTTTTTAAATCAAAGCGGCAGAGAGCTTCTCCGAATATGAAATTCAGAAGGACGTGGGGCGAATAGAAACGTGTGAATTATTAGCAGAAAGTTATTAAAATCACTTGGACTGTGAAAAAACATTCCTTGCCTGCTGTCTGAAATCCACTTAGCTCCTCACGCCGGCTGGAGGGTGGCAGAGGAGGAGGGCTGTGGAGAAAGGGTCTGTCCCCAAGCCCAGCGACACAGGAGAGGGTTGAGAGCCTTGCATGACGTCCTTGCAGCCCTACAGCATACGTCGGTGACACGCATGCATTTGCTGTGGTGAAGTAATCCAGTGTGATGTTGTGCCACAAAAAAAAGCAAAGAGAACAAAACACGCAAGGAAAGGATCTTCCTCTGGTGCTGCGGAGCGCCCATCCCAGCCGCCTGCCACGGGCAGCACCTGCTGAGAAACAACACGACAACAAAACTCCCCACGCAGAGACTCAAAATGTGACAACTCTGGAAAAAAAATGGAGGATTCTCTTCTGAAAGCCAAATTGTGCAGCTGCTGTAAGAACCAGGCAAGAAAAATGTTCTTTTGCACATGCTAAAACCTCCCTTGCGGTGGCTTCTGCCTGGCCGCAAGACGTGCTCCTGCAAACCGCTCACAACAGGAACGGGCTTCATCACGTGAAGCAAACCCAAGGTGCTTGCTTTCTTGGTGTTCTTCATTTCCCAAGCTCTTCTAATTTAAGTTCAGGCCACAAAAACCACTGGGTAATTCGGAGCAGCCTCACCTCTCCCTTGGGTCAGCTCTGAACACGCATGACTAATTCAGAGAGTGTTATCTGTAATGACTACTATTTATATAATGCTCGAAGTTCAGGTCTATTTTTAACCCTGGCTTTCCCTCCAACGACATTAACATCTCTGTCAGGACACCTTTTCTGACGTCAAGCGCTTGGAGGGAAGGGCTGGGCCGGTGGGCGCCTTGCCGGAGGACAGCAGCGCAACCGCTTCACTTCATCTTCGGGAGTTTTCCTTTTCCGTCTCCCTCTAGCTGGTTCAGAAGTCAACAACAAAAGCAACGCTTTCTGAGCTGGCTTTCCTTCACCAACTTAACCTCAAGGATCTTATTTTAAACGCCATTACAATTTTTTTAACATGCCGCTGCTGAAGCCGTTAACCATTAAAAACTGGCACAGACGACCTAGTGTCAAGCTGTGTTTTGTATATGCTAAATTGCATCCCACAACGCTTTTAAGTGCGTGTTGTTCAAGTTCCTACATTTTCAAGACAGAGGCCGCGACTTGCTTTATGCTTCCCTGTACTTAATGTCTCACTGAGGTCTAAAGAGCCCCAGTTTCAACAAAACAGTGACTCAAAATAACACATTTCAAGTTCAGGTTGCAATATGGAAGGGAAAAAAAAAAGAAAGCCAACAGAGACTAAGATACGCTGGGTTTGGTGCATGCAAGAAAATAAAAGCCCTGCGGTATTTTTTGGAAAGGCAACGCAGCGAGGGCTCTGCAGCCTGGGGTGAGGCTCCCCGAAGCTGCCCTCACTGTGCTCCGATGGAAAGCCTTCACCATCAAGCCTAGTAGGGTATCAAGCAGGACAGCGACAGCCAGGATTTAAAAAGAAAAACCTGTCAAGCTGGATCTCTCATACATGGCTCCTTGTTTAAAAAATAAAAATCTCATCCCTAAATTACAGGTATTACAACGTTAACTAGTGTTGCTCGCCACTACACACACTTTATTTTAATTTTTAGTAATTACAAAGGTAGGAACTGCATCAGAAACACAGAGGAAAAACCTGTGGAATTCATGTTTTACTATTTAATTTCAGAAAATAAATTATATTCCTAACTGTGCATTACAGACTGTCTTGTTCCCCACTGGGATGTTTTAACTCTGCAGGCATTATACGTTAATCATGGCATTTATGAACAAGTGATGAGACAAAACATTAATTTTTGAGGCTTATCCATACCTTTTAATACATAAACCAAAAGTCAGAGTCGTTTGGCTTTATCATATATTATGCACAACGGCATAATCACAAAAACTAAACACGCAAGCCTCTGCAAGAATTAAAGCTTTTCCATTCTGATTTTCTGAAGGTACCCATTAACAATTTGACTAACGCAGCGCAACTCCTGAGGTAAAAGTGGCAAGCGCTCCCCATTCAATTCCCCTGCAGCGCTAAGTCAGAATTCCTTCTTCGCTGATGCCGTGACCCGCAGGAGATTGGTGAGGAGCCAGAAGTTAAACACGACCAGCGTGGACTACCTGGATTACAAAGGCGACGAGAAAAAGCAAGCTGCTCGTTATGAGAAGCACAAAGGCCGCCTTGGATTGGGGTCCTGCCTCCGATTTACCTTCCTCTCGCAGCTTTTGTTGGCAAGAGCAGCAATTTGCCGGCTGCCTCGACGTGTGAGATCTCGGCATTAATGATCCCGGCCACTTACAGAATCACAGACATTAAGAGTTAGAGGAGGTCACGGAGTCACCTACCTGGATGATCTCGGTTTGTAACAAAAAAAATCGATTAAAAGAAAGAAGGCTTTCATGACAGCGCAGAAAGAAATATTGCGCCAATTGATTCACAAAATTCCAGGGGAAATTATTATCGTCTCCCTGTTAATGGCGAAAAACTGAAGCCTAGAGCAACTAAAGAGCTTGTCCAAGAGCAGCCAGCAGCAGCAGCAAAAAGCACAACAAACTCCACAACCTCCAGCCCAAACAAAATAAAATAACCTCATGTACGGGCAGACAGCCCTGTAACTACGTACACTAACTTCTCAGCTTTCAGGCCACTAAGGTCTGGGAAAAGGTTAAAAATCTGAAGACGCCAGAGAAATTAGTCAAGAGGACAGATGAATGCAGGGCTGTAAGCCCGGAACAGGGAAGGATTTGGCAAATTATTACCAAAGCATCTGTCGGCGTCGTCAGCTGGATGTCCCAGCTTCAGGCACAAAGCTGATTTTCTTACCTGTCTGTCAAGTCCCATTTCAGGTGTGCACTATGCTTTAATCTGTTCTCCAGACACTTATTTCATGAAAGATGCCTCTAATAAAAAGTGAACTCAGCTGCTCTTGAAAGCCTTTTCTCATCATTCCAGCAGAGTGGATGCAAACTCTGTGCTATCAAATACTTGAGAACCTTTGCATTCCCTCCTCTTATATATGCTGATTTTTTTTTTCCAAGTTTCAGCAACAGCAGCTCAGCTGGAGATATAAGTGAAGTGGCAAATGCATTTATTTCTGATAATTTGAGGAACTTCTGATAAAACTCACAAGAGCTGAAGTGTCTCTGCTGTTAAGCTAAGGAAAATGAAATCTGGCAGATGAGTACACTCAGGTTATAGTAAATACTCAGTTTCTCATGAAATTCAATCCCTATATAGGTAAATTACACCCACAAAACAGCACAGACCCGAGATAGCCCAATACGCCTAATTTACCTACGAAGTCCAGGGATGTCCAAGCTTCCATTTTTTGCTGATTTTCCCTGAGTCACCCTAATGCAGCCCAACAAGACTGAAAAACAGACTTTAAACAGACATTCCAGTTCCAGTTCTTGCATGCACGTTTATGTGTGCGCATATATCTATGGACATACAGATACGTATTTGTCTAGATATATTTTTAAGGAGACAACTCAAACACTCTAACTGGTATCACTGTAACCATTACCTTTGAGGTTGAATACCATGAAGAAAACAGAAGTAAACACTGACTACAGTTATGGCAAAATAATCATGCAGAAGGGGCTTTATTTCTTAAACTACCTGCTTTTTAAATGCCTTATTTCAAGAGAAAAGCAAGTTCATCTCTAACTTGGTTCATACAATCCCTGAATGAAAGCATTAAAGCAGAAGGAGCTCAGGCTACTTACCTAGATTATACCACATGTCCCTGATTTCAAAACCAATCTGCCTTCTCATATCACCGTACCTTAAAAAGGAAAACAAAACCACCATTAAAATAAAACAATAATCTAATCTCAATAAGCAGAAGCATCTCGTTTCAAAGATATTTGAACTAAGTTCAAATCAAATTCAACAAGACAGTAACACTGCATAGACTCGCTCACCAGCTCAGGCATGAGCCCACGAAAACTCAACTTTGCTGAATGTCCCTTGTACGAGGGAGTGAGACACAGAGGCTGCCCCAACAGCCTCAGCCACCAGCTGCTGTTTGTCGCCTCGTGTCACTTGCTGTCCCTCAAAAGACCCCAATTTCCCACTTCTGCAGCAATACTTACTGAAGGGAGAACACACATGAAACACACACCTGTGCAAAACCTCTCGGAAAGGAGGTGGTAGCAAGGTGGGGTTGGTCTCTTCGCCCACGTAACTAATGATAGGACAAGAGGAAGTGGCCTCAAGTTGGGCCAGGCAGGGTTTGGATTGGATATTAGGAAACACTTCTTCACCCAAAGGGTTTTCCAACACTGGCACAGGCTGCCCAGGGCGGTGGTGAAGTCCCCATCCCTGGAGGTGTTGAAAAGATGTGGTGCTCAGGGACGTGGCTTGCGGTGGACCTGACATCGCTGTGTTCATGGCTGGACTTGATCTTAAAGGTCTTTTCCAACCTAAATGACTCCGTGATTCTTTGCCATATTTTCAGACCACCTATCCCAGTTTAAGACTCAAACCAGGCCACTACTTAACCATCCTTTGGGTCACATGGGTGGTTACAGAGATTAATTGTGAGCTTTTTCTACTTATCGACCGGTACTGGCCAGAGGAAGCACAACAGAGAGCTTCACAGCCTAAGGCTGTATTTTATTTTTATACATCCTCTTAGCAGAGCATTGTCCTAAAAAATACAAAAGGGAACATCTTGTGACATCTCGTACCTTGATGCACAAAATCAGAAAGAGAAGGTTTCTCTGTTCCAAGAGAAGGTGTCTGCGTTCTGTGTGTCCCACCTGGGCTAGACCAAAATCTCGTGGTGCCAGGAGGTCAGTGAGGGGACTGAACTCTAAACCCATCTCCACTCTGCCACGGAGGTGGTGGCACCAAGGCTTCACATCTCCCATCAGGGTTCTTTTAATATTCCACTCCCTCTCCTCGTTAATACCAGGAAAGCTTAATGAATTGGGAAAAAAATCCTATTGCCTTCATTAATGACAGGATCAGAACCATAATGAGCTCCAAGAATGTACATGCCAGACGGAATATTTGTATATTAAAGATCATTATTTAAAAAGATGAGCAAAATGGTAGTATCTGGCAACTTGTGGGATTTCTGTGGGATAATAGTGAGATACTCCGTCATTAATACGGATTAAAGAGATTCTTCCGCATCATTAAGAATCTGTTATTATCTAATGCTTAAACGCAATGTTTAGCAAAAACTACAAATTACAATAATTACATTTTAATTATTAAATATTTGACATATTAATTGAAATCTATACTTTAAAAGATGGACGAATGTGATATTGAATTAACTGATTAATTATGTCCCTTTGGCACAGGGCTGGTAGCGATCTCCCAGAGCAATAAAATCTAGTGCTTCCAGGCCACACATTTATTGCGTCTTGAAGACGATCTTGATTTCTCTCTCCAAAACATGATCAAACTGAAAATAACAACTTGTAAAGTCATTATAACCGGAGATTTACAATTTAGCAAACTCCATTAAGTAACCACTTCAAATGCCTTCATCTATTTACTTATATTAGCGGTAAGAAATGCCTGTTGATTTTTTCTTCAGCCAGACACACTGCTCAGTTCACTGTGACAACGCCTCGAAGAAAACTTCTGTCTAAGGTTCCCGTCTCCATAAAGAGGGCACCACAGATGTCTTTGACAGGAATACCCAGCCCCACTACCGCTCAGCTGTTGTTTTTTTGGCTGGGTCAGGAGTCTGATCTGAAGTAAAACACCAATGTCGGACCGAGAGAGCAAGGGGAGAGCGTCAGCGGCTCCGGCGTTGATCCCTCTGCCTGCTCAGCGAGCCCTTCGCCTTCTGCAAGTCTCCTTTACATTCTTAATCACAAAAGTAAATCGGCATCATCTTGGGCAAAACCAACTTGTTCCCTAAATTCTGCTTCCAATGAACTAAAACTGACCTGGCTCTACAAAACCATCTTGATTTCCTTTCGCAAACGTGCAGCTACAACATTATTTACGATATTTATAGCACGAGTGCAAAAATCTGAGCTCTGCTTGACACCACTTTTCCACTGAACTTGTAAATATTCCTGTTCCATCAAGGAAGGCCCATAAGGTGCAGTTACGTACATTAGATCACACGGTGCTTAAAAATTCCGTTTCAACACTCGGAAAAAGCGCAGCTTCCAATCGAAGCACCTCAAAACTCACGACAGAGCGGATGAGTTTGAAGGGCAAAACTTAGCTGCCAAAAAAAAACCACCCCAAAAGAGGTGGGACATAGAGCCCCGTCTTTTGTGGTGCAAGGCTGCAACGAGTACAGTTAAAGCAAAAAGCCTTTAAAACCACCCATCGCTGCAGCAGCACTAAACTCTTCCCATCTTCCCTCATCATGACAACATAAAAAAGGCTTGAACTGCAACGGTGAGGCGATCTTCTTTCAAAGGGCATCTTCTTTCTCTATATAGATATATAGAGAACAGAATTTATATTGTACATAGAAGGAATCTCCATGCAGATATTTAGAGAATAGAATATACATTGCACATAGGAGTCTCCATCCAGATATATAGAGAATATATCTATTGTACACAGAAGGAGTCTCTATATAGGTATATAGAAAATATAATACCTGTTTTACATAGAAGGAGTCTCTATATAGATATATATTGTGTGAGCTGTACTTCTTCAGGGAGTCGGGGCTTTGGAACTCCCCAGTTTTGTGCCATAAATGCAGTCACCTGCTAGTGGGAACAAACTGCTTTTCAGATGCTCTTTCCAAATATTCTGACACGGAAAGACAATCCGCACATCACGTCTGAAAATATGTCACCGTGGGGTTTTTTGGGGCTCGGTGAATTAACAATAACGCCCACTCCACTGGAACCCCAGTAAAATTTAGGGGGAATAGATATATTAGACAATATATTCATGCTCCGGTCTTATTCTCCAGTCTTTTTTCTTCTGATAGGTTTCATTTGCTGTGGGATTCTGAACAGCAGTCGGGTAGTTCAAGCTCCCTGCTCAGAGGTAGGCAATGTAATCCCTTTTAACCAGGAAAGCATACAAGGCTGCAGTTATACAAACCCATTCTTCAGGGATATCGCAGTGAAACTGGCTGCAGTTACAAAAATTCACTCGAAAAGGCCGTTAGGGATTAAGCAATAAAGCGCGCACGCAAAATGAGATTAGAACGAGCACAAAGCTAAAGTGATTTAAAAATTCGCTTTTATAATATGTTAATACTTCTGAAAAGTCTTGACTTTACGAACATCCTGCAGTACAAAATACTGTCTTCATCAGTAATGAATCATGTAATTTAGATCTTGATTCAAGGGTAGAAACACATGTAATATTTCATTGATGGTTTTAAACCCAACCTTTCATTATACCATGATTGCATCTCAATTTGAATGGATTTAGCTAAGAAATTAAACTAAAATTATGTTAATAGATCTCAAGTTCTTGTCCATGATTTAGATGACGACTAGGACTTACTTGTTAAGTATTTTTGCTCTTTTAGCACTCGAAAAATTCTCCAGTTGTAAAGATTCTTGCGTAAGAAAAGCAACAGCCAGGTGGAAGTAGTTGTTCCAAAGCTGAAAGCCCCCAAAATGACAAGAATAGATACCGTTATTCTCTGAAATGTTTTTTTGGCACACCTACAAAACAACTTAGAAGTATCTAAATTATGCACATAAATATTTAAAGGCGAAAATAACAGACACAGAGACAGTGCTTCTTGATACATTCTTAGTACATCTCCTTGTTGTGTTTCCGTGAAACATTTCCCATCTAGAAATCCTAATTGACTCTGTCCTGATGCTTTGAGCAAAATTAAATGTGAACACACATGTTCTTCTAGGACCAGACCCACAAGACATGAATGGATTGTACATATTTGCTTGAAATGACCAGACTGGGCTAACTGGTCAGCTGGGCTTCATGTCGCCACACACAGACACCAAAATTACTCATTTAGGGCAGAAATTTATTAGAACACTGATGTCGGACCCCAAGACACCGGTAGTTTCTTCTTACCTGTAACTCGAAGTTGGTTTGATCAAGAAATTTTTTGTTTAGCATATCTGCATACTGATTAATCGCTCGCAGAAAGACTCTGAAAGATCAAGAGAAAATTACATAATTACACACTCTTCTGTGGTACCTTTGTACATTTGGCATCCCAATTAGACAGAAATCTGAGTCTGTCTGGAAAGTGAAATTCGTAGCTGTTGCTTGAGAAGCCGTGTGATCTCACCACTGTTAAGGATACAGAATTATATGCAGATGTTCTCAAAATTAATCAAGTAAATTAACATATGCAGAAACACAGGCAATGTTTTGGATGGAATCACTTGTCTTTAAAATATCTCACGATCATCAAGCGATCATTAAAAATTCAGTGTATTTAGAAAAGAAAATATTTTTTTTAAAGCTACAGCTTCGTAGTGTCGCACCTAACCTAGACCTGCAACGTTCAACTCGCAGGTCAAGCAAAACATGGTTTGAAACACAAGGCAAACACTATTTTACTTACGGTACAATAACCCACAAAAACGCCGTTGAAGGACAATCTTCCAAACATTGCTCACCCCTCTATTTCTAAAACGCTAACGTCGCCCCCTCTGTACTTTATTGCTTTTCTAAAAAGGACACTCCAAAACTGCAACAGGAGCTGGCTTGACAAGCTTTAAAAATAAAACCAAATGGTACAGGATAAGTAGGTCACTACATATTCATGGTGCTGGGAAGTAAACATATTATTCTTTGGTACCCTAATCTCCATTTCCAAAATAAACACCGGATGCCTCCTGCAAACTTGAAATTTATGCTATGAAACTACCAGCTAATGCCCAGACAAATGAACTTGTCTTTCGAGCAGGCTACGGTGGAGATTTATAGCTCCTGAAAGCACCAGCAACAATAAGGACCACTCATGACACGTACTGCTTCTCCTCCTCCCCCAAGAGCAATTATTAAAAAGAGAGTTCACTATCGAATGCAAATAACAAAGTTATTCTTTCTACAGGCAGACAGACATACCAGAATTATTTAGAACAAACCAGAAGGGGCAGTTAGAAAGATCTTTTACTGAATTTACAATACCTAGTGATCTCTCCTGGAAGAAAGTAACACTTCGCTAAATGTTTGAGAAAAGACGCCTCCAGATAACACGCGAGCATCAGGATGCTAAGAGAAATTATTTACGTACACTATATTAATACAGTAAGGCAAAAATTTGGATGCTGCTGGGATGTATCTGTACTATAAAGTCAGATCATCCCCACAGCAGTGTAACGGAGAAGAAGGTAAGTATCCAAACGTGAAAATCAAAATTAAATCGATCAAAGAAAATACAGAAGAAAATTTAACAGATGAAAATATATATAAAATACAAACGAATACGTAAAAAAATTAAATACATATTTGGAGATATGGATACATCCACGCATTTTATATTTAGTAAGAAGTCACAGGCTTCTCTACCTTTGCATCCAGCGCATGTGGAGATGCATTTCAGCAACAGCACTTCTGTGCATTATTCACTGGTGTCTGTCAGTATACATACTCGGGAACAACTTCATTAAGAGATTTTATAAATGAGATGAACTCAGAATACACAATAATGCACTGCAGATGTATGTATTTTAGATGTATGATTCAATTACTGAGCTGTACACTGACTGAAACTGAAGCTATCCATGTAAGCACACCAGCAACACTTTGACATGTAGACGTACAACCTGGCTTGTTTTGCGGTTTTAAAGGCTGATAACACCACGAGGTTTCTAAGTCCTTCTAGAAAAAATAGCAATTTAACATAGTGGGAAGGGCCATCCAATGCTGCTTGCCTTACAATGACAAAAATCCTTCCAATACAGGAAGGATTATGCCCACAATTTAATTCTGTTGCCTTAAGACATTAACTGTAATATATTAAAACTGCTCCATCTAATTAAGCTTTGGAACAATCTCATTACTTTATATACTATTATTTTTCTTTAAATTGTAACTCTTATTTGCCACCTATATTAATTCTAGTGAATGCCAGTAAAGAACAAATAATGCCGAACCTACTGTATGTTGCAACTGCAAAAGGACCAAAGCCCAGCACACCTGTTAAACTCCAGTTGTGATTAAACCAAACCATCCTCTCGCAGCCCGTGCGCTCCGCTGTACTCGGGCTGCTTTCGGAAGGCAGGTATTCCTCCCAACCTTCTATGGAAGAACATCAACAGAAGTGATGCAGTGACGTAAGTGTTGATTTTTGAATCATTCAAACCTCATCTTAAGTTTTATTTTATTTGGGTCCCCCAGGACAGCCACACAGGAACGCGTCCAGGTGGGTTGGAAAGTCTCCAAAGAAGGAGGCTCCACACCCTCCCTGGGCAGCCTGGGCCAGGGCTCCGGCACCCGCACAGGGAAAAAGTTTTTCCTAATGTTTTTGTGGAACCTTCTGTGCTCCAGCTTGTACCCATTGCCCCTTGTCCTGTCATTGGACATCACTGAGAAGAGCCTGGCTCCGTCCTCCTGACACTCACTCTTTAAGTATTTATAAACATGAATGAGGTCACCCCTCAGCCTCCTCTTCTCCAAGCTAAAGAGAATAGCCAGAATTAAAGTAAATGCATCAGTTTGGTACTGGAGAATACTCAGGCTGCTGCTGACACCCGTGAGGATGAAAGGTGTACTTGGACATCACCGAGCCAATAGACAAGTCATCAAAGTGATCTCCGGCACTCAGATGGAGAACATCAAGCCGCAGCGGTACGCCTTATCTTGCTGTAATTAATAATGAAGATTAGCTTCCAGTTGCACGTGCATGAAAAGACGTGCTTTTTTTGAAGTTCGGGTTCGATTAACAAAAGAATACATTATCCATGTTCAGGAAGAGCCACAAAAGTTAAACCTTGAAAAAGGTTCAGAGAGTGGAAGTGATCAGGATGCACTCTGCTGCAGTACCGACCCTGTTACACAGAGCAACAAAATCGAATGCCAACATATTGGAAAAGATTTGCTAGACAAAAGGCTTTATCAACCCAATTAGAAGAAGGAAATTAACATTTCCTATGATGTGATTGGAATAGAAGGAATATGATTACAGAAGGAAGTCACTCCAGGATATGTAGGAGGAAGAATGACTGCTGCTAAAGGGCGGAACTATTTACCAAAAAACAAAATTAACATCCTGGACAGATGAAGTTTCCGCGTGCTGAGCTCCTGAGGATAAATGTTCTGTTGGCTCATCTGTCTCTTTGAGCTTGGGAGTGTCCTCTCACTCGGTGTCCAGACAGCTGCCATCAGGGCGAGGTGTTACACCAGCCCCGGGACTTCTTTGTATTTTATCCCTGGTTATTGATCAGACACGTTTATCAGTTCTCCGTAAGCCCAAGGAAATAGCACAAACACAAAGCCACGGCACAGGTTAGACATTAGGAAATACTTTGCGATGCTAAGGACGGGCCATCGAGAGCAGAAATTCTCAAAAAACCCACTAAACCATAAAAAGCCACCCCATGCCAAGCAAACACCTGTGATCAGGTGTCATTCCCCTCACCCTTTCTTGGGCAAAAGGACAGATTAGTACTAATTTCTTCAGTAATTTCTCTCCATTTATGGCACTCAATGCAGAGTCAATAAATCAGTTAATTGCTGCCGTTTCAAGCCACGAAGTAACTTCAATTGCACGCACCGAGTTGTGTGTATTTTTACCATTATTGATTACCAATCACTTCCAGCAGGCCCACAGGTGGTTAACTGGTTTGTGGATGCACGCTTAGAGATTGTTCCCCTCAAGGACTGCAAAAATTAATGATTCAATTCTGCAATTTTGCCTTCGCAGAGAAGCTTTTTACCTACAAACAACCTCATTGAATTCAGGAGGCTCTTCATACGCCAGATTTCAACTGGCAATAATAAATGAAGAAGGGACAGAGGGATTCAATTTATAAGTGTAACAGCAGTCACCATGCCAAAAAACTCATTCCCCCCCCCTTCCTCAGGTACAGTTGTTTTTTTCTCCCTCCATTTTCTCTTATAATTAGTCGAGTGTCCTGATTTGCTTGATCACTCACGTTTAAAAATATTCTATGCCCCATTTTCTCTCATTCGGCTGCAAAATATTTGCAGAAGCTGAAGGAGCTGAGGAAAGCTGGAGGCCACACGATGCTGCAACGCTCCTCTCTCATCGGGTATCGCGCACACACAAATCAAACTGCCTCTGCAAAAAGCTTTTCCTGGAGAAATAATATAGAGAGAGATTCCAAAAGTAGAAACATTCTCACAGTATATTCCATTTTGCACATTATTTAGTCAGCTCTAGTACCCAGGGATTCGGATTTACACTATAAGCACTCATGCAAACTACTTAGGACAGGAAACTACGACGCAATACAAGCTACAAACGTACTTTTCCTTAAGTGAACATCAAAAACGAAGAACGAAAGAACGAACGAACGACTTCTCTAATGGCAGAATAATTATCTAAAGAAGAATATACAGATACAGCTTAAAATAATTTAGGTTTAGCTGATAATTCAATAAAAGAGAAGGGATTTGGAGTGAGGTTACAGAAGGCACTATTACGATGTTATTTCAGTTAATTTAGACGGAAGGATAATGAATGCTTTATTACGGCTGATCAGCCTTCCTGCACATCATCATGCTTCCCATGCCTGAGCTTTTGCTTCTCTGGGAGACAAATTTACTGCGCATATGTGAGACAGACTACTCTTATCTTGTCAGACTGCATATGAGACAACCGACCTAGACCCTGAAATCCCAACGCAACCCCCAAACCCGAACAAATGCTCACTAAAGCATGAAGAGCAAAGCCTTCTTTTAAACAGCAATCGCTTCAGATGCCTCACAACTCCTTCTCAATGTCTGCGTTGCAAAGCACGCGGTGTGTTTTAAGCAATATTTTACTTAAGTGTGAAATAAAACTTGTATTTTAACCTACTCCTATAGCCACTTCTCTATTAGCACTGCATGCCGTCCGGTGGCTGTCCAATTATTTTAACCCTGGAACACAGAGACTGCGCAGCGACCTCATCAGTGTATTTTGTACAAGTCAAATGAAAGTCAAAATCATTAAAATGAGGGAGCATGGAGGTA